TTAGCGGGGTTTTTTAAGGGTAATTTTAAGGATAATTTTAATGATTGGCCTTCTTAAATATTTCCTTTTAATTCGGTTTTTAATATAGATGTTATTGTATTGTATTGTGGTTTTTATGAGGCTGTTAGCCGCCCTGAGTCCTATGAGGAGAAGGGCGGGGTACAAATTAAATTATTATTATTATTATTATTATTATTATAGTGATGGTGGTGATGGGATGGAAAAAGCCATTTGTTTCCTCATAGGAACAAATGATGATAATGAAGTTATCCATTCAGTTGTATCCGACTCTTGGCGATTCTATGGGCCAGGTCTCTCCACATCTTCCAATCTTGAGTTCTTTGCATTTTCTATGCTCTGGCTGGTGTCAGCTTTGATGGAATCCAGCCACCATGTTCTTTGACAGCCTAGTTTCCTTTTACCGCTAACTCTTCCAAGCAAAATTGCTTTCTCCAGTGATATAGAAACAAAATGAAAAAATAAATGTAAAAATATGAAGCTAGAAGGAAAAGGTTACCCACTCATTGTATTTTTTTTAGACATCAGTGACCCTAAACTTGACTTTTCTGAAAAAACAAAGTCATGAATTATTGTTTAATATATAGTTGCATAAAAGGAAGATGCTGCTATAAAAGTACTTAACAATAATGAGCTTTAAGGCTTAAATATTATTTAACGGTTCATTTAAAAAAAAACTTTCATGAATCAGGTGATTAAGTACCAAAATAATGTTAATATTGAGCAAATAGAAAATTAAATAATCCTATACTCATACTACATATTTCTGAGAAGTGAACTGTTTGAATTCTGTAGGTTTCATTTTTAATGAATGCATTGTTTTCCACACAAGTATTACATGAAAACAAATATAAATCAATTTTATATTTCCAAAACTAATAAAAACACATAATTCTAATCCTCTCTATGAAACCATTCCAATCACATCTGCCTATGTGATTCCTTCCATTGTTCACAAGGACTAGCTCAGTGGTTCTCAACCTATGGGTCGGGACCCCATTTGGGGTCGATCGACCATTTCATGGGGGTCGCCAAGCAAGGCTGTCCGCCATTTTTTTTGTCCGCCATTTTTTTCCCCTTTTCCGGCGGGTGCCTTACCTCCCTTGGGCTGGGCCAGCTGGTGGTCGGCCTGCTCTGTCTCTGCCGCTTGCCAGCTATGCCTCGGCCGGCACAGGGGGCGGAACCACGCATGCGCGGCGCTCCCGGGCAGGGAAAGTCCTCGACTTACGACTGGTTGGGTAGTCCTCGACTTACGACCGGTTTAGTCCTCGACTTACGACCGGTTGGGGTCGCGGCATTAAAAAGGTTGAGAACCACTGGACTAGCTGAAATTTCCCAGTCAGCAGTTTCTTTTTAAATTTCAAATGTTGAGACCAACGTTACCTAAAACTATAGTCCATAAACGTGTCTTCTAAATGCCCCTGACATGTTTGGCTCCCTGATCATTTCTGGGAACTAAAGGCAAGACTTGCTGAAACACCAGAGGGTCAATTCCTATTCATTTCTCTCCTAGATTTCTCTTTTGGTCGCCTGCCCTACATGCTCTAGGATAGAAATAAACCTTTTTCCTTTTTTCAACCCAGCTTTAGTCCACTTAATGATGCTCACCTGATTCCATTCTCTTCATTTTTCCCCTGTAAGCAAAACATCTGGGCTTAAGAAGGTGGGAGAATACAGGACAATATAAAATGGGTCCTTCCTGACCAGTTTGTCTTCATTCCTGTTTTGCAGTATCATAGTGCAAGTATCCACACTGAGATCAGTATACTTACATATCCTGCAAAGCTTTTGGGCATGTGCTGCCGTGCTTCAATTTGGATTTCCCCTACACCCAAAAATCTTTATTGGAAAAAAAAAAAGTCCCGAATCTGCACTTAATAAGTTAATTTATTGCCAGTCACTTATACATGTTGATTTTTCACCTGTATTTTCAAACTGGTGGGCTACATGCCCTGAACAAAGAACTACAAAACATGTTGCATGTTCAAACAAAAACATTTTTTTAAAGATTTTACATCTGACATTACTCTTCTCTATAGTTCACAATAGCCAAATATTTAAGGAAGAAACACAACTCCCTCTAAACTAATAGTAAATGTGTGATTTGGCTTTGCCAAAGAGAAGTTCCAAAACATTACTGATAACGAACAGAAAAGTACCTTACAGGTCAAGAAATTAAGTACTTCTGTACCACTTGTTCTAACAGTCAGGTGCCTCTGTAATATCCTTTGACTTTCAAATTTTACTTTCATCATATTGATTATACAATCTAAGCCATGCTCAAAGATTCATATATAACTATGCAATTCACATTCTGGAATATTTAGTGCTATTCACTCTCAGCCACCAAAAGTTGCTTTATACAGGTATGATAGCAATTGGGACCGGGATTACCATCACTAAATGGGTGACATCATGTGGCATCATTTAGGATGACAATCCTAGTAATCCCAGGTGCCCTTGCAACCCTATGTAACCCTTAATGACTGTGTGGGTCATTCAGTGGGAAGAGGTGGGAGTTCAGGGTAAGGAGCGTGGAAGGTACTGTAGGTGGGCACTGGGGAGTGTGGGCCACCTGGCAGGAGCCAAGGATGGGCACTGGAGAGGGTGGCTGGGGGAACGCTACGGAGTACAAAATCCCTGGTATCTCAAACTCTCTAGTGGGGCTCCTTGGGAGAAAAAGCGGCAAGAGCAACTTACAAAATTATTTGTGACCTTCCCTGCCAGCGTCCCCATTGATTTTGCTTGTGGGAAGCTGGCAGGAAAGGTTGCAAATGGCGATCATGTGTCTGTGGCTTGCCCAGCTGCTTGAGCACCCAGATTGTGATCACATGACCACGGGGATGCTGCAAGGACCACAACTTCATGGACTGGTCACAGGTCCCCCTCATTCAGTACCATTATAATTTTGAGCAGTCACTGATCAAGTGGTCATTAGTCAAGGACTGTCCGTATAGAATGTAAGATTTGTTGCTGGCGCCAAAGCAATCACAAAGCATCACAAATGATGATGCAGGATATTTTTGTGGTCTGTGCTCTCTTAAATGTGTGGGGCTTCTACTTTTGACTTCCCTGCAGTTATAATTGCTACATAAAAGCAACCAAAAGTTCAACTCCTCAAAAGCTAGAGCTAACCCTGTGGTTATTCTGGTCTGTAAAGCAACAGGGCTTAGCTGCATCCCTACTGCCTCTGACTGTTTCCAATTCATGTTGGGAAATAATCTAACCCAAAATGGGGGGGGGGGGTAAAGGAGGGCAGCTGGGGAAAAAAAAGCAGCATCAAACCAATCCATTTACATAAGTCACAGACGCAGACTGACGGCCCTGATAAACCGCTGCCAACTATTTCATTTGGCTATGAGCTAGAATACCCAAAGGGCTTGAATGAGGAATGTCAAAACTAGTCCAAATAGACCGTAGAGTGGAAGGAAGTTGACCCTACACTCATCAGAGCAAATCCAACGATCTTAACAAATGAAGCAGCCCTGCGGCTATTTTTTAACATCTCCAGCTTTCATAAGGGCCTTGATAGCCCTCGCTCGCATCTCAAGCTCCAGGAGCTCCAGCTGCTGTGCTGATGGCTGAACATCATCTGCGGGAGGAACTGCTAAAGCTGCCGCCTTGGACTCCTTTGGGGAGGATTCGGCAAGGCCCAGGATTTCGTTGACGCTTTTCTCAATGTCTTTCTGAAGGTCATCGATCTGACCGTCTCCGCTTTCAACCGTCCGCTCTGGCACAGCTGGATTATCTTCTTCATGGCATGGTCCTTCAATGTCGCTGTCGTATGCATCTGCATTGATGCTGAGAATGTCGCTATCTTCTCCTTTGCCTGCGGCATAAAATGAACAAATTTAGAAGGCTCGCCGAAAAGGAAGAGCTGTTTTTCACCTTGCAGTTGCTTCTGCACACAAATATTCCCTTGCCCAGATTTAAAGTATAAGAAAGGTCACCTATAAATTAAAAACAGGTTTCTCTTTTTCCAGCCCTCTCCCTACCTTAAGACTGATTTAATTTAGACGAGTCTTAATGCATTTTTTTTTATTCCAATTTACAAGAACATGCAGTAGTCCAAAGCAGCAGTGCTTGGAAAATTTATTCCGTCGTATGGAATTGCATGATCTATTTTCCTAATTAAAATGTCATAAGGTTTTATATCATAAGGACGCGTCTGCATTTCAAAATGAAAGTTGATGTGGGAAGCCTCTGGGACTGACTACTGTTTATTATTTTAGAAGTAAATCTTATTCCTAAAGTGCAGTTTAAAAGTACTCTTAAAATTACTTTATGTACTGTAACGAAAATACGAGAATAGTTATCAGTACAGTAATATATGTATTAGAAATAGCTATGTAAAGACTTTCATTGAGATTTAGACTTCAATTTAGGCTTCCTTCCTAACAATTATGGCATTCTTATTTGCTTAATTGTTTGATGGCAACAATAGGCCTGATGAGGGTTAATAAATTAAATTTTAGAAGACAAAGGTGTTGTTGATGGCCAGATCTCTCATTCTAAAAGACCTGGTGCGTAATTTGGGGTTTCTCCTGGACTCACAATTTCTGCTCAAGGAGCAGTGGTAGTTGTGGCCAGGAGGGCTTTTGCACAATGGCAAGTTGTGCACCAGTTACGCCCTTTCCTGGACCAACAATCCCTACTCACGGTCACTCATGCCCTTGTCAATGCCCTCTACATGGCACTGTCCTTGAAAAGAATCCAGAAGCTTCAATTGGTTCAAATTGTGGCAGCCCACATGGTTTTGTGCAGACCTAGATATGCACGTGTGTCATCTCTCCTGAAGGAGCTGCATTGGCTACAGATTTGCTTCTGGGTCCAATTCAAGGTGCTGGTTGTTATGTTCAAAGCCCCCCCATGGCTTGGGACCAGGTTATCTGAAGGACCATCTTTTCCCAGCCACATCTACCCAACCGACCACAGCGGGGAGGCAGGGAATGTTGCGGGTCCCCTCTCCTAAGGAAACCCATTGAGCGGAACCAAAAAGATAATGGCTCTCTCCCTGCGGAACATTGTCCCCATGAAGATAAGATTGCCCCCCACTTTGACACTCTTTTGCAAGGTCCTGAAGATCTGGCTTTGCCAACAGCCCTGGGGACCCCAGAGTGGGACCAAACCATCAAATGGTTCATTTGATTGTTGCCGCCGGGAGGGGTGAGGGGGGTTATTGCTTTTTTATTGGCTTTGTATTGGCCCTTTATTCTTGTAATCCACCTGGGGTCACTGAGAGTGAATTGGGGAGGGGGCATAAAAATTTTCTTAAATAAATAAATAAATGACGTACACTAAAATTTTGCCCTGGATATTCATAAGGCTTTTACACCTTGCTCCTGCAAATGTCTATTTTCACTTCCCAATCTTCAATTATCCTGTACTGTATGTAGTGGTCCATGGTGTGATAATGTGTAGATTACTGTAAAATGAAATTGTTTTGGATGCTCCAAAAGCATTAGGTAGTACGGAACTATGTTATACCTATTCTTGGTTACTTGTGCTAGTCAATTATTAGTGTGGATTTACAAAGCCCTAAACAGCATAGTGCCAAATAATTTGTTGGAAAGCCTCTCTCCTCTAATATATCATCTTATTAAGATTTACAGTGACAGTTTTCCTGCGGTGCTGACAGTAACTGCATATGTTCCTGATTCTGTTCTATAGTTTTAATATATTAAATGTTTTACAGTTGATATTTTAATTGTTATAAACTGCCTTTTGACTGCAGTGAGGGCATGGACTAAGGCTCAGAAATTTTAGAAGTGATTCCTATAAATACTAGGGTATTCTACAACATAGAACTTTCCGCTACATAGAAATTCTGATACTAATTAAGGACACCTGTTTGGGCAAATCTATTTAAGTTATACCACCTTTGATATTTCCATTAGGTTTAAGAATAAAGCAGTAAGATAACTGAGGTACTAAAAATGTAAGTCCCAAATTCTCTTGGATGTACAAAACCAGCTGTGAGAATCTTTGAATCCAGAGAAACTGAAGTTCTCAATGTTGGCAAGGTTAAGATGTTTGGATTTCAGCTCCCAGAATTCTCCAGTCAGCAGTTGAGGTTCACATATCTTAAAAGTTGCCAAGGTTGAAAAACAATGATCTAGAACACGGGTGTCAAACTCGCCACGTCACGTGACGTGTCGCGACGTATTGCGACTCTTTTTTGGATTGCCGGCAATGGGGTGGGGGCGACTTCGGTATGATGAAACCGGCCTGTGGGCCGGCAGTTTAACACCCCTAATTTCTAGAATGTGAATTTTAAGAAAGTTTAACAGAATATGTACAATACAAGAAGTAAGAATTCTGACATGACTACGCTTTGATACTAAAAGAAAATATATATTTATATGATATTCAGTCATCAGGTACTGTGAATGCACAGCCGTTTATACTTTGAAGCCATCTATTAATCATTTTATTTGTTTTTATTAACACAGCAATTTAATCCAGCAAAGCAGTACAATGACAGGTTTCATAGGCAGAAAAATAAAGAAACCAAGAGAGAAAGAACGTGTTTTCCTGGATTAGGACAAAGTTCCAATTAGTTCAGCATTAACAATACCATCTATATCAGCGGTTCTCAACCTATGGGTCGCGACCCCATTTGGGGTCGATCAACCATTTCACGGGGGTCGCCAAGCAAGGCTGTCCGCCATTTTTTTTTCCACTTTTCCGGCGGGTGCCTTACCCGCCAGCTGGTGGTCGGCGACGAGGCAGAGACGGCGAACGGTCGATGCGGAGCCGGCCGTGTCCCCCGCCTTGGTGCGTACGTGCCACGAGGGCCCGTCCCTTTCAGGAACTGAATGCTGGCCAACCCATCAGGAGCTGAATGCTGACCTAATCAGGAGCTGAATGCTGGCCAAATCAGGAGCTGAATGCTGACCAAATCAGGAGCTGAATACTGGCGTTTAGTCCTTGACTTATGACCGGTTGGGGTCGCGGCATTAAAAAGGTTGAGAACCACTGATCTATATACAGCAAGCCAAATGTCCTTTTGAAGCTAATGAAGATACTTTCAACATCTCATGATTCTATTCATAGCTATTGTGGTTAAATAGCATAGTTTCTGCTGTGAATTTGTTAAAACAAAGTTATTTAAACACTTTCAAAAGTTATTTTCACTCTTTCTGACATAATTGGGCATTCTATGAAACACTTTTTTTTTTTACTTGCAATGAGCTTTAGCAGGTTTAAACAATTTTATGAAACGTATAAACAGTTTTACAACCTTTCTATAAATGTTATAGGCTTTCTACCTTTTGGTCTTAATCTCTTTTAAATTATTCTTTTTCTGAATTTTTTCCAGCACAGAAGTTTCCTGATGACTTTCCATTCAAGTTCCAAGCTGGCTTATCTTTTCTCAATGCACCCCCTTTGACTGACTGTGGCCATCTGCTCAACTTGGCCAAAGAACAAATAATGAACTGCAATACTTAATTGATAGTACTTAAAAGAACTGGCAGAATTATCATGTCAGGATCAATGTACCTCCATTGACCTACTTCCCCAAATTAGAGGCTTCTATTACTTATCAAGGAAGTAGCAGAACTTTTACTCATCTTGGGGTATGTAGATCTGTAGGGGGTACACTGGTGTGCCACACTGCCAATTCTGAGCAAAGGCTCAGAATGAACAAAGACTTGCAACAAAAATCAAAGATAATTATAAAAAAAGTTTCAACATATAAATAACAAGAAAAAAAAAATCAAGGAAACAGTTAGTCCACTAAAGAGAGAAGACAGCAAGGAAGTAACAGGCAGCAGAGAGAAAGCTTTAAAGAAAACTGTAGCAACCTTTAAAGAAAACTGTAGCAAGATAAGACAGAGAGGTTAGAAAAAGAAAAGAAAAAAATGTTCATGTGAATGAATGCACTTGGGCTTCTATGGAGATTCTCAATCATCCAGTTCATGGTTGTCCCAAAGGTGCTTTTTCAAAAGACAATTGGACTTTTTTTGTTTTTCCTTGAAGACTTCTTCAGTTCTGACTGAATGGTGGAGAATGGAAGGATTTATAATCCTTGCAGTCATCTGGTCATTAGCATTCTCTCTGAGAGTAACTGTGGCCATTTGGATGGCCTCATTCCATTGTTGAGGCCACTTGGAGACTAATAATGATCAAATGACTGCATGGAATATAAATCCTTCCATTCTCCACCATTCAGTCAGAACTGAAGAAGCTTCATGGATGAGAAACAAATTGTCTTCAAGGAAAAACAAAAAAAGTCCAGTTCCCTTTTGAAAAAGCATCTTTGGGATGCATTTGGGCATTAACAATCCCAATCTCAATAATCAGAATGAAAATCCCAGACATGTCTATCCAATCAGACTTTATTGGGACAGGTAGATAATTCTTAGAATTAAATGTTTGGCATTACTGGGCTCTTCTCAAATTACTCAGGTACTGCAATTTGAAGGTTGCTTGTCATTTTTACATAATAAAAAAGGCCTGCTAAGCACTTAATGTTTAGCAACCTGTGCTCTGTTCATTGTGAAGGTTTCAGAAACCAAAGATTCTATAAGAGTGTTGCCATCCTAGCTATTCTACTGTTTGGCAATAATAATATACTGCATCACTGAGCTGGCAACATGAATACTTATTTTGGAAAATGGGACAGAGAAATAAAAACTTTTTCACACAAACAAAAAAAGTTAATATTCTGCACTTGATCTTTATACCAATTACTTCCCATTCACATCAAAGTCTGTCCAAAGACTGAGCAGCAGAATACATATTACTGAAATTAATCTACAGCAGTTCCAAACAACTTAAAGCAAGACTACTTTTTTTCCTCTTCAGTCAAAAGTAGAGTGAGAAAGGCGTTAAAAAAACTATTCTAGTTTTAAATCTTTTCTGAAAGAAATGCCATAACTTTCACTGTGTACGTATTTGCGTTGGTCTTGTGTTTATGAGCTAGGAAGAAAATCTTTAGAAAAACATACTTTCTTTGACTTTTTATGATATAACTGGTATCTGGAGGGAGAAAAAAATCAATACTGAACACTAAGAGAAATGTATAATAAATGCTCTTGCCCATAAAGTAGGAAGTAGCTTTTCTTTAAAAAAATGGAAAGTAAAGCATTGCACAAGTAATTTTACAGATATTAGAAATATAGAATAAATAGGCAGCTGTAGCATATAAAGAGTATTATGATTTCCTCAATAATATCAAAATGGCAAAACCAAAATAACCAATTATGCCTATTCAAATTCACAGATCTCTGTTTGCAAGTTCTGATTTCAGAAATGTTACTTTAAGACTAATTTTGTGTCAAACTATTAGTAAGATTCTTTCAGAAAAATATATCTTTCTGATACATTTATTTTATATACTATGTGAGTGTGTGTGTCTGTCTGTCTGTCAGGTTTAGCAGAACCAGGAAAATCAGATGAACAGAACATTAGGCCACCATATTAAATGCATCCTACTTAAACTGGGCATAGAACAACATTTGCAGTGTATGAAATATTGATTGTGATTTTCTATTTCCTAGTTACATCTGATTATGTGTCATCAAATAGTTATGGAACCTTAGCAACCATGCAGATAGATATGCTCCAAAGAGATCCTTCCCAATCTGGCCCTTCAAATGCTCCAAATGCTCAACCTATTGTTCATCTGTGTTGCTGCTAGATACCTTCTTCTTTTTCCTTTTACCTTTAAAAGCATTATAGAGTTTTCTAGAGAAAAGCTTCATTTAATATGTCTAGTTTGATCATTTGAACCTGGCCACTTGCATCTTGAGTGATAATCGTGGATTGATCATTGCTTAATGATCTATTTGTCTGTTTTCTTGACTATCTACAATATTCTCAAGAATCTTCTCCAAAGTTCAAAACCATGAATACTCCAAAGTTCAAAAAAAACATGAATACTCTTCCTATCCTGTTTCTTCAAAGTCCAACTTTCACTTCCATACAGTATCACATGTAAAGCCATTGCTTGTATGATTCTGATTCTTGTAGGCATGCATACCCCTAGCATCTTTTTATCTTTTTCAAGGCCTTCACTGATACACTACTAATTTGTGGCATATTTCTTGACTCTTTTCCTTTAGTGTAGGTATCTGATCCTAAAAGGCATAAGCTACCCACCACTTCAATATGTTCATTGTCATCTCTAAGGCTAGTTAGTCTATCTGTTATCATTAGTTTGGATTTCTCATTCTCTGGCGCCATTCTTCTCCTTGATTTTCATTACTACAGATCATTTGCATTTTCAGCTATTAGAGCCGTGTTTAATTTTGGTCTCCTAGGCTATTACAGTCATATATTTTCTTTCTTAATATTTCCAACTTTGGCATTCCAGTCTCTATTCACAGGAAGCATATGTTGTTTGCAAGTTTGAGCAATTTGAAATTGAACTTGACCATAAAACTCACCAACCTCCTCTTCTACATGAGTGGTTGGAGCATAAACTTTAAAACTGTCACATTAAAGGGTTTTTCATAAAGTCTAATTGATAGTACTAGCTCGCTAACTGAATTGTAGTCATGCTATAGCTTTCCTAACTATGAAAGCAATGCCGTTCCTTATTTCTCATGTCTTAAGCAGTAAATAGTGTGATGCTCTGACTGAAAGTATTCAATCCCAATCCATTTCAATTTGCTGATGTCTAAGATGTCAATTTGTGGTCATTTAATTTTATCTTTCACTATGTTGATTTTCCCGTGTTCATGTTTTTTACATTCCATATTCCCACTGGAAGTCTATTTTTGCGGCTTTGGATTTTTTTTTTCCTCCATGGCAGCATCAGCAACTAGACATCCTGAAGGCTTTAATCTAACCATGCCATAAACACCATTGTTAGCCTGAAAGAGCTCTTCCTCAATAGCATATTAAGTGCATCTGGCCTTTAGGAGCTCATCATCTGGTGCTACATCATCAATCACTTTATCTTATGCATCATGTGCATATGTGGAGGAGGGAGTTTTGGTAAAATACAGGAGTCATTTATATTGCCTTCTCCTG